AGGGTGCCAGGTACTCCCCAGACTATACTCCAGGAAGGTGCTGGGCAGGCAGGCGGGGGCCTGAGAGCCGCCCCTCCTCCAGCCCCTGTTCTGTTCCAGGGATGATCCAGAGGCATGTGGCTGGGGTGATGGGCCAAGCGCTGCAGGTCAGAGTGAGTTTGCCCCACCTTGAGCAGGCAAGCCCCAAGCAGATGGGGACAGCAGGAAAAGGGGCAGCTTAGGGAAGAGGTTGGCTTTGAATCCAGTGCTATTGCTCGGCAAATTCCTGCCCAGCAGGATGGGGCAAAGGACCTGTGATGGTCCAGTGGTCTCGGAAGAACCATCCTCAGCTCCAGGGAGCAGCATGGGAGCAACAAGGGGTAGTGGCTGCCCAAGTCCCTTGTGGCTGGCCTCAATCCCAACTGTGCCCGAGGTCTGGACATGCACTGAGTCCTGATGTGCCTGGGACACACATAAGCTGCCTCAGATTTACTTGCTGTTCCCAGAGGAGCTCAGACCTGCAGCTAACCAGTGCCTGGGAGTGTGGGTGTGGGGAAGGGGGTACAGGACAGGATGCACCTCCCCAGAGCCTGCCTAACGTCTGAGGGCCTCACACCCCACATTTGGGGGTGAGGGGGAAGGGGGATGCACTCCAGACCATTTCTCCATGCATGTTTGGCTACACTATTTTGAGCTCTGGCCAAAGCCAAGCAGCAATGCCAAGCTAACACTATAAATCCTGCTCCAGAAAAGCCCTTTCAGCAAGATGGTGATGTGCCAACAACTTCTCAGCCCCACTCTCTGCCTGTCCCCAGAGGCTGCTGGGTGGCAGTGAAAACCCATGGAGAGCAGGGAAGGGGGTAGTGCCAGCCCTGCCAGGCTGAAGGATGGGAAGGCTGCCTGTCATTTCCTGCAGACACAGCCCACGACACAGACACTGAGAAAGCAGCTCAGGTTCCTGGAACATCCACACCCGCTTTAATGCCCGAGGTGGCCAGAGGCAGCTCAGAGCAGAGGGATGCGGGATGGCTCCCAGAGGCGCCGGGCCAAGTCGCAGGCCTGCTGGACCACAAGCTCAGAGGGGATGATGCCCAGGTGCACAGTCAGCAGCTCATAGCACTTCACTACTTCTGCCTGGTGGTTCTTGCTGTAATAACGCAGCAACTTCCTGGGGAGGAGAAGAAAGAGGCCTTGGCAGGTAGAGTGCACACAGGCACCCCCTTTCTAACCATCTTCCCTTTAGAAAGTCCTTTGCAAGGACACAGAAGAACCATGGCACCAGGCTGGGGAGGTGGGCTGGTGCAACCCCAGTGACACCACAGCACCAGTATCACCCTGCAGTGACACCCTGGTGAGGATAACATTACTCACAGGGACCCCCTTGCCAGCCTAGCTTTGAGCCCTGGTGCCAAACCACAGGGCTGGTGACTGCTCACCTGTAGTAGTCCCCTGCCAGCATCCCAATTGGAGCAGAATCATCAGACAGAACCGGTACCTCTATCACCTCCAGCTTGTAGCCCTGGGGAGAAATGACAGCAGAGGGCAGAAGCAGGGATGGGACTGCCGAGGAGCCAGAGCTGGCTATGCCTACAGCCCCTCTCCCTGCCCCAGAAGGTGCTGGGGTAGAGGGGCTTAGACCCTTCCTGGCCCCACATACCAGCTCATTCTCAAACCAGAGGAAGTAGGAGCAACAGTAGTCGCCATCCTGCAGCATGAGTGTCGTGTAGCCCTTCTGTAGGTATCGCCGGGCCAGTGTGATCAGGGACCAGACCTGGAGGACAAGGGACACCTGAAGCCTGAGCAGAAAATCCTTCAATTACCACCCCCTCTGGTGGTTCCCATGCCACCTCTATCCCCCATCAGCAGTACCTTTCTCTTGATGAAGTTGGCCAGGGGACCCTTGCCGAGCTCTGAGCTGGACTTCTCTGTCACGCTGAGTGATGGTGCCATCATCTGCCCAGCTGTGCGGTCCACATAGATGAAGTGCACCAGGCCAGGAAAGTCCTCTAGGTATGTGGGGTGGGTTAAGGGTGTCCAACAACTTTGGTGCCTTTCCAGAACAGCCCCTGAGCCTTGGGGAAACTGCCTTCACCCACCACACTCCTCCCCTTGACCCTGGTGCTGGGGGACAGGGTCCCACTCCCATGTCTGCTACCCCCTTGAGGACACCCCCTCTCCAGGCTGTGTTCCCAGCCGCAGAGATGGGTATGACACCATGGTGATATTGCGCCTGCTCTTCACCAGAAGGAAGTCCCGCCAGTCCAGCAGCTTCTCCCTGTCGAGAAGAAGCATGGTGAGAGTCCAGGACCCCCAAGTCCCAACACAGCTGGGTGTGCAGCAGCCCCTTGGTGATGCTGGCCACCCCATGCACTCACCTCATCAGCTTCTGAGCATGGTCCCGCAGCCCCTGGGACAGGCTGTGGCCAGCAGAGGTCAGGAAGAGCTGGTGGTACACAGAGCAGAGCTGCCGCTTCACACTGGCCACTGCCTGCAGCAGCCTGAGCCAGGAGACACAGAGAATACTGAGTTTGGACACTGGGTCCCCAGCACTGCAGGGACAGCTGTGCTGGCCCCAGCCCGGAAAAGGCGCCTGCCTGCTTTGCAGACTTTCCCTGGCCACTCCCTACTCACTCCAAGGAGCTCCCAGGCTCGCTCCGGGAAAATATCTTGTTCTTGAAGTCCAACCAGGTGTTCTGCAACTGAAAAGACAGGACTGTGTCAGGCTGTGGGGACAGCAGGACAGGGTCTTCATGTTCCCACTCCCACCTGGATGTCCTGTCCACTCAGCTTCTTCACAAACTTGTCCATGCGTTGCCGCAGCTCGGCCAGGAACGGGTAGGAGCGTGCGACTCCCGCCTCTGGCCCCTCTTCCAGCTTCTTCTCCAGCACCAAGAACCCATCCAGCAACTGGTATAATGTGACAGCCACCTGGGTCATGGGGCCCTGCCAGGGAAGGGAGATGTGGGTCAGGCAAGACTCAGTCCAACATCGCCTCCCTGACCTCAGAGGCAGCTCACCTTGGTCAGTAGCACGAGGGAGATGCCTGGCCAGAGTGGCAGGCAGTGCATGGTGTGTGGCAGCAAGGGGCAGTAACCTTCCCGCAGGCTGGCATCCAAGAAGATCCTTCTGGGGTTTGAAGCTTCAGGGACCAGAGGCCCCAAGGTCTGGAGCAAGTCCTCTGCCATCTGGGGAGAAAGAGAAGATGCTCAGTCCCCCCGTGGGTATGAGGCAGCCTGCACCAACCCGGGATGCTCTGTAGGGACATGGCAATGCCCTGAAAGCTGCAACCAGGCATGACAGAACTGAAGGAGCTGAAGGGGCCATGCAACAGAAGATCAGCAGCAAGGGAAGTGCCCAGGAACCCCAAAAGAGCACCAGAAAGAAAGACAAAGGTTGCAAATGCCTTAAAGTGAGGACAATGCTTACTTGCAGTGTGTGAAGTGCTGCAGCATCCATCACAGAAGCAGCCCAGAAAGCCCAGGGGCAGCAGAGGGAGACACTGGACTGCTCTGAGGCAGCCCTGATTTCTCTCTGCTGACAGCTCTGGACAGGGAGACTGTAAGCAACGCCTCAGAGAGGGCACAGTTAGGCACAACATGTGGGACACAGGGTACCCACAGCTGCAGCACAGCAAGAGACGAGTGCCGAAGACCGGAGACCGCAAAGAGCACAAAGAGCATCAGGACAGGCTGTCGAGGTGTGGAGCTGGGAGGCATTGCAGGACTGTGCTCACCTGGACATCTGTAGCTTCTGCCTCCCCAATGCTCAGCATCTCAGCACCCTCTGACCAGCTCTCGCTGCCTGCAGGGATCACAACAGCAGGTCGCCCTTCCCACCAGGCCCCTTCACAGCCCCAGAGCCTCTGCAGGGCTGGGGGCAGGGCTGCTGCCTAGCTGGGGACTCACCTGTGCTGTGCCTGCCTGGCGAGGGCTCAGGTGTGTAGTAGACCTCGGGCACAGATTGATAATCTGTGTCCTGCCACTGAGAATGGATGTGTCAGCAATGGGAGCAATGCAGGCAGTCCTTCCAGCATACCACCCTACAGCTTCTGATCTCATGGCCTCACCTGGTCATCTGAGTCCTTCTCTGCAGCTCCATGGGAGCCAGGGCCACTCACAGGGATGCTCTCACTTCTCTTGGGTCCCTCGGGGAGAACGTTCCCTGCCATGGGCTTCCAAAAAGAGAGAAAAAAAGTTAAGCCCTGGCTGCCAAGGCATCCCCCCACAGGAGCACCTTGACCTGCTCTGGACCCCAGTCCTGCTCTAGATCACCTGGGGGCTGAGCTCCTCCTCAGCACTCTGGCTGGGGTACAGGTCCTGCACCAGGAGGATGAGGACAAGCAGGTCGGCCGGGCGGATGGAGCTGGCATTGCGGCTGCAGGACAGAGAAGGGAAGGGTCAGCCGAGAGGATAAGTGGTGTCTTTGGGGAGGGCGGTGGGGCCGGGTGTACCTGGAGTAGAAGGCCAGCAGCTTGGTGTGCACCAGAAGGAAGGCATGGCCCACCTCGTCCCCACCACGCTCAGGACTGGCATTGATGTACTGCACCACTTGCCGTTCCAGGAACTCAATGCACTGCTCACACAGCTGAGGGTGGATCAGCCGCTCCACGGCCTGGGGTGCAGGCGGGAAGAAGGCTGCGGAGTTCCCCTAGACCCAGCCTCACAGCCACAAGGGCAAGTTTGAGCTTCCACTGCTCCAGGGAGTTGCCCCAAAGTCCCCAGCCTAGAGCCTTTCCTCACATCCCGGGACTCTATGCAGCCTCACACCCCTGGAATGCCCCAAAAGTGAGGGACATCCCGGGGCATTGGTACCTCCACTGCAAAGCTCTGGTCCTCCTCCCGCAGGTGGCTGTAGGTCTCCAGAAGGCCCCGCAGCAGGCTCCATACACGCTCCCGCTGCTCTGAGTCAGCTGGCCGCAACCTGCACCGGTCAGAGTGTGAAGTGAGAGGCAGCTGTCACCTCCTTGTGTGGGACGGACACCACAAAACCCAGCTGCAGCCCAGCAGGCAGGGGGGTCATGCTGAAAAGAGGCGTCCCAGTCTGGAGACACCCACTCCCACCCCTCGGTGCCGCACGAAGGCACCGCGTGGCAGCCACCCCAGAACCCCGGCATGCCAGCCCGTGCCGGTGGCCGTGCCCACTCACTCCTTGCGGATGAGGTGTGAGTCGAGCGTGACGAGGCCACAGTGAGCCTCCACCAAGCGCCGCAGCACG